CTGAAAGAATGCTGTGAGTTAGTTCTGAGAGCAGCAGAGTTCAGAATGCTGGAATGCAGAATGCTCAGAACAACTGCGACTAAGCTGAACGAGAGAAGTTCAGAGGAATTATGAAGAAGTCGGTTCTGGGATGATCTCACGACTCCGAACGGTTCCCTACTATCCTTACGGAGACGCTGGAGAGCGTTTGAAGGCAACTCTACACCGAAGTCGGAATTATCCTCTGCCAAGGTAAAAGAGTCGATCTTCAACCGCAAAGTGTACCGTTGGTTAAGCTGGGTCCAGAAGGAGCGTGTTGTTCTGGTTATAACAGACAAATTCCCTCACCCATCTCTCTCAAGATAAACTTCATTTTCCATCTTTAAACTCTTCTATTTTGCTAGTAATTAATCCAGATATTTTCAGAAATGTCTGTTGTAATGCTTGAAATGGGGAAATCATGGACGTATGGTTTCCTCCTTGTAAAACTTGCTAATTAATTATGTTGTTATGAAATCAATTTGCCAAATTAATGTAAATGTGTGATGTTAAACTTTGATTCTGTTAATAAATGACCGCATTCATTTGATGGGATCCAGAGAACAGGAGAAAACACAGGAGCCAGCAGTGAGGCGCGGGAGAAAATGTTAGTTCAAAAACTCCAACATTCAGTTTAAGGGGTTTTAAACATTTGATAATCCATCCATTCATCCATCCATCCATCCATTTTCTTCCGCTTATCCGGGGTTGGGTCACAGGGGTAACAGCCTAAGTAGGGAGGCCCAGACTTCCCTCTCCCCAGCCACTTGGTCCAGCTCCTCCGGGGGAATCCCAAGGTGTTCCCAGGCCAGCCAATAAACATAGTCCCTCCAGCGTGTCCTGGGTCTTCCTCTGGGTCTCCTCCTGGTAGGACATGCCCGTAACACCTCACCATGGAGGCGTCCAGGAGGCATCCTAAACAGATGCTCGAGCCACCTCATCTGGCTCCTCTCGACATGGAGAAACAGCGGCTCTACTATGAGTCCCTCCCGAATGATCGAGCTTCTCACCCTATCTCTAAGGGAGAGCCCAGACACCCTGCGGAGAAAACTCATTTCAGCCGCTTGTATCCGTGATCTCGTTCTTTCGGTCACAACCCAAAGCTCGTGACCATAGATGAGGGTAGGAACGTAGATCGACCGGTAAATTGAGAGCTTCACCTTTTGACTCAGCTCTCTCTTCACCACGACAGACCTGTACAGCGCCCGCTTCACTGCAGACGCTGCACCTATCCGCCTATCGATGTCACACTCCATTTTTCACTCATTCGTGAACAAGACCCCAAGATACTTAAACTCCTCCATTTTGGGCAGGACCTCCTCCCTGACCCGGAGAGGGCACTCTACCCTTTTCCAGATCAAGACTATGGCCTCAGATTTGGAGGAACTGATCCTCATCCCAGTCGCGTCACACTCTGCTGTAAACTGCTACAGCTAAAGCTGCAGATCACGACCTGATGAAGCCAATAGGACCACATCATCTGCAAAAAACTGAGAAGCAATCCTAAGGCCACCAAAACAGATCCCCTCAACAACTTGGCTGCGCCTAGAAATTCTGTCCATAAAAGTTATGAACATAATGGGTGTCAAAGGGCAACCTTGACCGAGTCCAACTCTCACTGGGAACGAGCCCGACTTACTGCCAGCAATGCGGACCAGGCTCTGACACCGGTCATACAGGGACCTAAGCCTGTATCAAAGGGCCTGGTACCCCATACTCCCGGAGTACCCCCCACAGGGCTCCTCGAGGGACGCGGTCGAACACCTTCTCCAAGTCCACAAAGCACATGTAGACTGGTTGGGCACACTCCCACGCACCCTCCAGGACCCTGCTGAGGGAGTGGAGCTGGTCCAGTGTTCCACGACCAGGACAAAAACCGCACTGCTCCTCTGCTCCTCCTGAATCCGCAGTTCGACTATCCGACGGACCCTCCTTTCCAGAACCCCTGAATAGACCTTACCAGGGAGGCTTAAGAGTGTGATCCCCCTGTAGTTGGAGCACACTCTACAGTCCCCCTTTTGAATAGGGGGACCACCACCCCAGTCTGCCAATCCAGGGGAACTGCCCCCAATGGCCACACAATATTGCAGAGTTGTGTAAGACGACACAACCCCACAATATCCAGAGCCTTCAGGAACTCTGGGTATCTGGGTACACATCTGTGTACTTGGCTGCATTAAAGCCATTTTTGTGCTGGCTAAGACTGACTAGCTGTAGTGGCCATCTTGAATTACATTAGTTCCAAATGTTATTCAGTTGTACGTTCATATCTAATGATTAATTTCTGAGAATTTCAATAAGATGTGTTGAGTTGTTCATTGAATATTTTGCTAACAGACAAACACAGTTGACCCCAATAGTTACAACTAAAATTTTAAGCTTTGTTAATGTGTTTGAGCATGTGATGTGTTCAACTCTGACAAAACCACTGCACGTTTGAGCACAATATCTGTAAAGCTGAATTATAGCTGTTGTTGGGCCCTCTATGATGACTTAGCTGAGGTGGCCATCTTGAAATTTAGTGGCTCCAAAAGCACGTTTGAAAATATTTATTAGGTTGACTCCAAATAGTTATTTATGATGTTTTAAACTAAGATTCTGTTCAAGCTCAGAACATGTGGTGAGGAATAGACCTGAGCTAAAAAAAAAAAAAAAAAACAGATTTTGGGCGAGAATCTGAAAAATTGGTTTCTTTATTGTCATCTTTGTGTTTTTTTAAATCTCATTCGACTGTGGAAACAGTCTAGAAACTTACTGACTTCAAATTGTAATCAACTTCAGGTATACATCCCATGTTTACTTTAAGTTTTTGTTTGTTTGTTTTTTTACGTTTATTTTAAGTTTCAATAAAAATTTCACACATAAAGTGATACATTGTGACGTCAGATACTGAACCTATATAATCCACCAGAGGGCAGCAATTACTAACCTTTTCAAAACGTTTCTACTTAAACGGTTATTTTGGTTTTATGCAATGAAAACTATAAATACTGGAAAAATACATACCTAAGAAAAAATATAAAGTTATGACAAACTCAATATTATATAAGTTTACAGTGATTAACTATGATCAGACTAAGTAATTAAACTCATGAATATCTAACCAGGATAATCACTGTGAAGAATCACATCAGGTTGCTGCTGATCTATTTCATGCTGCTGATCTATTTCATGCTGCTGATCTACAAAGTATTTCATGTTGCTGTGTTCATTCGTACTCATCTGCTCACACAGACTCATGTTCGTGCTGCTGTTCGGCATATTGTTTTTATGCTATTTATGCTTAGTGTATTTTTAGTAGATGTTTTTCTTAGTTCATATCTTAGATCTTATTACTGCTTTTCTTCACATTTTAATACTTTTGTTGGATGTAACTGGGACCCTGTGTACACAGTTTAGTTGCACCACATGTGGTGTGCATGACAAATAAAGAACCTTGAATACTTGAATTAATCCTGCCTTAGGTATTGTATAACTGTCCATAGCCACCCTGCATATACAAATATATATATATATATATATATATATATATATATGTATATATATACACCTTTTAATTGTATTTTGTCAGAAATTTTCAAATATAGCAGTAATCTCCTGGACATGAAATACGTCATCACATCCAACATAAGTTTTATTCATGATTTTTTTTTAAAGATATGAGGCTTCATTGTGACTCTAAAGACACAAGATCACGTGTTTCCTGTCATGTCCAGCATGATGTCCAGCCAGGAAAAGTAGCCGATCACAGAGCAGGAAGGGAATGAAGAGAAATGCGTTTTCCAGTTTTGTTATACGCTGTACAGGAAACGCGTGGGTTGGAACTTCAAAATAAAATTATAGTCATGTGAATTTATCTTGAATCTTCTCTTAAATTCAAAAAACCTTCAATACAAAAACAACTGGACTTTATTTGTAACAGAAGACGTTTCGCTTCTCATCCGAGGAGCTGGTTCAGGAGCCCTATTTTCTTCCTCGCTCCAGGACTATTGAGCATGCATCAGGATAGCTCTTAAAATTAATAGGTTTTACATGTTTATATAATGATTATTTTCCACGAGTTTCATTTCAGTCTGTTCTGTGGTTCATGAGATATTTTGTAATAGGGTTGATTGAGCATTTAATGCCAAAGTTTCAATGGTGTTAAGAAACAAGTGGTGCAATAAAACCATATTTTAGCCCAGTGTTTTCACAATTTTATAAATAAGTCATTTTGTGCCTTCTAAGCATAGTGATCTGTCACAGTCATTTTTCATTAGGTTAACTGGTCAAGTCAAATTTATTTATAAAGCACATTTAAAAACAGCAGTTGTTACTAAACATGCTTAACAATAAAACAGAGTGGCAACAAATTAAAGAAAAACAATATTTAAAGCAACAAAAGAAAAGTATCAAACACCAAATAAAACACTAAAATCACTGTCAAAAGTCAGTGGAAACAGATGTGCTGTTAAGAGATTTAATTCCACAAGTTAAACAAATGCAGATGTTTTTCCAGTCAGTTCCTGAAAGTGTCACTAAATTCTGACCAGTAGTTCACGAGATATTTTGCTAACAAAGTTGACTAATTAGTAAATTTATTAACAAATTCAAATATCTCGTACAGTTTGTTAGTGCTCATAATGTGTGTTGAGGATGACTTTCTGCAGCTACCACACTTAAATTTATCCCAAAAGTGATAAATTTACCATTCTTGTGTCTTTCATGTCAGTTGGCTGTGGCAGCCATCTTGGATCTGGTTGACCCCAAATTTTAACAGCTTTGGCAAAATAATGTAGCAATAAAAAACATGATTTTTGAAACAAGAACTACAACATGAAAGCAGTTTACTTAATAATGAGGAATAAAACCCAAGTCAAAACAAAATGCAGCGTCACTTTAAAAAAAAAAAGTCGTTGACAGCTACGCAGCTTTTATTTTGAAAATACAACCGGAAACGTTCTGTTTCCGTCAGATGTTTCTACGGAAGCCTGAAAGGCTCGTGAAGGCTAACAGACAGTGAGTTTGTGTTTTGTCGACAGTGGAGCGCAGAGCAGCAGTTTGATTATATTTCAGCTCACCACACCTAAATATCAGTTCTTCGTAGCGTCGCTGGCTCAGGAAGACACGAGGAATCGACTCATTACACAAGAGACAAACATTAATGAGACATTTTCACCGTCGTCTGCTAACAGTTAGCAGACAAACACGACCTGAGGACTGCGTTGATAATATTTACAGGCAGCGTTGACCTCCTCAGGGGAGGCAGCCGAGAGACCTCCTCCACTAAAGAGGTGAGTGTCACGTAAACAAATGACCTGACAGTAAATGCAGCTCCTGCTGCGGGTTAAATGTCATTCTGTGTGTGGCGGGGCGACGGTCCTCTGATGCATGTTATGTAATAAATCAGGATTAGCGGGACTCGGATGTGAATGTGTTGCAGCTTGTCCATCTCTGTTCCGTCCCTGACACAGTCTCCTCTCATGTTCCTGCGAAACATCTGTGCAGCTGTGTGTGTGTGTGTGTGTGTGTGCGTGTGTGTGTGTGTGCGTGCGTGCTTTGAGACGCCCCCAGGAAGAACAAACGAAACAAACTGTGTGGATGCTGAAGGATAAATTATGCTAACAGAGCTGAAACTGAGTGGAGGCTAAAAGTAGCAGATGGGAACGAAACTAGCAAAAGACTAGCTAAAAGCTGTGAAGGATTAACTTAAAGTAGAAAAAAAAACAAGCTTAAAGTTGTAAAAGACTGGCGAAAATGAGCAATAGGCTAACTACAAGAAACAGAAGGCTAGCTAAAAAGCTAAAGTAGCAAAACACTAGTATAAAAGCTAGAGGAAGCAGAACATCAGCTAAAAAGCAAAAACTAGATTATACATCAAAATGGTCCATGCTCAATAATCCAGGTAGACAACCAACAATTTTCAGTCAGGTCATCTGGACAGTTTCTTTTTTTGCTGAAATGTTTCACCTTCCATCCAGAAGGCTTCATCAGTCAAGGAAACACACAACACAAAACTGATTCTTCCCCCAACAGCTTACTCCAAAGTGGAACAAACTTACAGATGGAAGGAGAAACGTTTAAGCAAAAAATGAAACTGTCCAGATGACCTGACGAAAAATTGTTGGATCGTATACCTGGATTATTGAGCATGGACTATTTTGGTTTTGAACCAGTTTGACATGACTGTCGACAAGGAAGAGGGCCGGCATTGGAGGAGGGGGCGTGCCAAAGAGTTATGTTAGCGCCAACATAACTGGTTTGTTCCACTTTGGAGTAAGCTGTTTGGGGGAAGAATCAGTTTTGTGTTGTGTTTTCTCGACTGATGAAGCCTTCTGGATGGAAGGTGAAACGTTTCAGCAAAAAAACAAACTGTCCAGATGACCTGACTGAAAATTGTTAGATTATACATCCCTTATCTTCACCCACTTCTTCATTTTTGGGTCACGGGTGTCACTGGTGCCCATGTCCAGCTAACACTGAGTGAGACACGGGGGACACCCTGGACATGGCTCCAGTCCATCACAGGGACACATCGAGACAAATGAGACAAACAACCATTCACTCTCACTCACACCTAGAGACAGTTTAGAGTTACCAATCAGCCTAACATTAAAGCCCCAAAAAGAAAAATGCATACTAAAAGCTAAAAAGAGCAAAATGCTATCTAAATACTGTCTAGACTAGAGGCTAAAAGTAGCTACATACTAGCTAGAAAAGTAGCAAATAAGCATCTTGGAGCTAAAAGTAGCAAAGGACTAGCTAAAAGCTTTCAAAGGCTAGCTAAATGTTGTAAAAGGCTAACAGCAGCAAAGCGCTAGCTAAAAACAACAGAACGCTAGCTAAGAGTTGTAAAAGCCTAACTAACAGTACAGCAACAAAGGACTAGCTAAAAGCAGTAGAAAGCTAGCTAAATCTGTAAAAGGCTAGATAACTGTAGCAGAGGACTGACTAAATGATCAGATGGCTAACTAAAACAAGCGTAAGGCTAGCCAAAAGGAGCAGAAGGCTAGCTAAATGTAGCAAAAGGGCAATAGGTGTTAATAAAAAAGCATAGCTAAAAGTTTAAAAGATCACAAATGAAAAGGCTAGTTAAAATCTAAAAGTAACAAATGGCTAGCTAAAAGCAGCAACAAGACAACAACAACAAAACAAAGATAAAGCTCTCATCTTCTCAACGAGCTGAACGTTTTGATGTGTAAATGGCTAAAGTAGCACAAAGTATTCAGAAGGTGTAAGATTGCATTACAAAGTACAGAAAAACAAAAAACAAGTGGTGAGATCCACAGAGAGTTGAGGTTTAACTCCGAGGTATATTTGAAAGCGTTGCAGCATTTCTCCTCTAGTTTTTCGTCTTGTTTATGTTTAATCATCTCCAGTCATAGGATCCTGCTGCACCTCCTCCGTGGTGCTCTGTTACACTTTCACCCAGTAGGAATCAGGACCAGAAACAGGAGACTGGTGGGGAACTCTTCCCGCTTGTGGCAGACGACCGGAGCCTATCCGGTTACCCTGATGTTAGATATCAGCCTGTCTAAGCAAATCGCCTCTAATCTCCTAAAATGTTCTTCATGTGGGCGTTTACCATCAACAATAACAGCTAAAGGCATATGCTATGATAAAGACCATTCATTGAAGGAATGCATATCACCCGCTGCTTTTCATGCCAGAGTTTTAGACTAAGCTCGTCTTATAATGAGACATGACAGTCGTAGCTGTTTTGGTCCAACCTGTATGTGTTTGCTAAGGTTGATTATGGTGGCCATCTTCAGGCTGACTCCGAAGACTAATCAGTTGTAGATGTCAAATTATTACCTTCTCAGAGTTTCATTAAAACGTCTGGTTCATGAGATATTTTGTTAACAAACGGAACTGACGTGAACATTTGATGGCACCGTTTTTAGCAAAGATGTTGTACCTCAGAGTATGTGTTGTAAATAACCCTCAGCTACTACCACATCCAATTTTAGCTCTTTAATTGTAAAAGTAGATGAGTTATAGCCATTTTTGTGTTTTGTCAGTATGGCAGCCATGTTGAATTTGTTTGATTTTCTAAAGTTAATCAGATGTACTGGTACATTCAATTAGACCTGTCGCGGTAAACAATAAATCAATTAATCGCATGATAAATGAAAATGATCAACCTCATTTTCATTTATCAGCTTTATCGTTTCTTCGTGTCTCTCTTTCTACTGAAGACACAGGATGACAAAACCTCAACTCTTCGCTGACCCCTCCCTTTCTCTTTTTTCTTTTAAATCTGTTATAATCGTTCAAAATTGTGTTTTGGATCGTTATAAGCAGCTAAGCTACGAGCTAAGCTAACAGGCCGACCTCGAGGAAAAAACCTCCGTCATGTCAAAGCTCCAAAATTCATGGTTGAAACTCGTGCCTTCGTGTAAAAAGTTGTTTTTCTCTGCAAAAAGAAGCTGAAAACTTGTTTACTGATTTTTTTAATTAAAAGCTTTGTGTGAAAAATGCTATGCTAAAGAGCTCAAACCACACCGAGCATCCGTCAGTTTGAGAACCAAACAGAGACAGCCCATGTCACGTCAAGGGGCCTCCCTCCCATTTTTTCTTAAAGGGACACGCTGCTCACTCCCTCACTATCCATCCTTTGGTACAAACAGTCTTATACTGCCATCAGGTGGTCAAAAACAGTTACTTCACTCAAAAATTAACCAACATTTCTTACATTTGACAATTATTACTAATTATTGGCAAATTTCTAACAATATTATCGTTTATCGCAATAATTTCTAAGACAATTGATCGCCCAGCAAATTTGTTATCGTGGCAGGTCTACATCTAGTGATTACTTTTAAAGGTGTCATTAACTCCATCCACTGGTCCATGAGATATTTTGCTAATGCAACAAACAAATAGACTCAGGCACTCGGAAAACATGATCACTAGGGGTGCACCGATAGATCGGCTGGCTGATTTATCTGCCCCGATTTCTTTAATTTTGGGAAATCGTCCGATACTTGCACGAGAAACCGATTTTTAAAAAAGTTTTAACAACTATTGTCTGAACTTCATTTATATTTCAGAGCACTACCTCATGGCCAGTTAAAACAAGTTTGTATTGTTTCTAGGATATTGTTCAAGGGTGTGCTTTTCAATAAAATAATATTGGAACATTGAAGGTGCGTTGTGAACTTATAACACCTGACAATGTTGCTTATAAAACAAAATCACTATTGGCCAAAATCGGAACCGGCAGGTCGGACTTTTTAGTGATCGGTGATGGGCCAGAAAACTGCAATCGGTGCACCCCTAACTGATCACTTTATTTTACCAGGAAGATGATCACGTTAGTAGTTTGCAACCTCCCAATGGAGATGAATGTATTAAAATTTAAGATTTTTTTTTTCTCTGTACCTGTATCGTGTGGCTTTCTGAGTCACGTGCAACATTTCCATATTTCCACCTGCTGGCTGTACATGTAAAGAAGGCCAGTCAGACTGGAGATGAACACTTGTGTAAGGGGGGAGCATCAGGTCACACCAACTTCTTGCTCATTTGCAAGTTAAATTGAGTTTCCTTTCAGCTGTGGTCAAACCCCATCCTGCTGCCTGTGTGCTACCAGCAAGGTTTACCAACCGAGCTGTACATTTGAATATAGATTCTACTTTGGGAACACGAGAGGATATTTCATGTACCCACTGAGCTAAAATTTGTGAAACAGTAGCTGACAGTCACTCCTATACGCTAAGAGCTAATTAACCCTCAGAAAGTTCTTTAACTTTATAACAATAAGTCTTTATTTGGGAGAAAATTGACCATCTTACCCAACTACTTAAAAGTACAATCTTTTTTTGTGTTCACTGTAGTCGGTCTTCTAGAGCTACAGGGCTGATATTACTCCAGCGCTGTGCCGGCTCTCCGGTTTCTCTGGATATAGTAGAGGCACAGCTTTCACTCCAACCACACCAGAGAAGAAATGAGCTACATTTTTTTTTTAGTTTTTTATTTTAAATCTGTTTCTTATCATTAACTAAACTTTTAATTGTTTTGAAGAAACAGCTTTAGCATTATAGGTGCCAACTGATTGTGCATGATCTGCTTTAAACACTTTTCATCCACTTTTGGCGTCAGCTGTGTCCGTTAGCATAAAATTCTCATGAACCACTGGGTGGATTTTAATGAAATGCTTAGCAAGTAATGTTTGGACTGGATTTACTTCTACAACGGATTACCTTATGGAAACAATCTGATTTGAGAAGGACGCCACAGCAGTGTTGCCTTGCGACAATTTTCAAGCGGGGGGTGGTGGAGGGTGGAGACGACT